AAATTGAAAATGCAACAGAAAACAAAAAATAGTCAAAATGAAAAAGATAAATGGGCCACATATATGCTACATGAACTACCACTAGATAGACAAGTGTTGAGGCCCCATCCAGGTAGTCACATAGGAGTAGATGGACCTCAATGCTCCTATCACTTTCGAATTTCTTACATAATGAGATCTCCATGAAACTACAATAAACAAGGAGCATATCAAAATATAAAAGTAACATTTAACTTAACGTATGGTATAAAAATTGTATCAAACATAACAAAAGAAAGACTTGGTAAGTCAACAGTCATGATATAGATACCAAACATAAAAAAAAGAAAAAATTTGATACGTCAACGGTCAAGATATAGATACATGTTTCTACCGAGTACCTATAGACTACATTGTTAAGTCCTACTATCAGCAGAGCAGTGCAGAGGTGAGTTAAAGAGTGAAAAATTGCCTGTATCTCATAAGGCATCCATAGTCAAGCATGAAATGTATAAAAATCACACAGGTTACCTTCTTCAACTCGACCGTTGGGGGACTAGGTTCCTGGTAAAAACTTGGCATTGGTGTCGCTTTAAATGTCAAACTCTTCCTAAACTGTCTGATTTCTGCTTCTTGGCTCTCCTATATTACATAATTTCATACAGAGCTTAGTTAATATTTAAACAATCATATATTATTCCAGGAGGAGCTCAAAGGAACGGACAGCTTTCTACCTTAGACTTTTCCTGCAAGTTAGTCTTTTCCATTTCCTTTGCGTGGATCTTCTCCTCTAGCTTCAAGTAGAACTGAAGAACCAATTCCCATTCACTATTTGGTCTCTAGTGAAAGGAAACACATGTATAAGAATAAAAAAGCTTGTCTTTTACCTCCTTTCGTTTCTCAGCACGCTCATCCAGTCTGAAAGAAAAACCAGAACCAGTGCTCTTCCTGTGAGGCATAACACGTAGAGTTATACTTCTGAACATAGAACACCAAGAAAGTGAATTCAAGTCTAATTGCAGAACAAAATAAAATAGGTTCAACATCCTATAACAGGAAAGATGAGCAAGGAAGAAACATACGATGTAGTGGAGTTGGCATCATCATCACTTTTGGCTGGTATCGTTTGTTTCAAGGTCTTCAACGATTTCATACCACCATTATTGGACCTGCTATGAAAATGTTAATCCTTGCAAGCCAAGTAAAGATCATCTGACCATCTATTATTAGTTAAGTGCACAGAACATATGCAGTGATTAGTGTTACTTTGGAAACAAAGTGCAACAAGAAAGGCCTAACCCAACCACAGATGATCAAAATATGTAATCACCCATTAAGTCAGGTGGTGCTCTCATATTCAACATTTTCCTATTATTTGGATCATTGGGTGAGTATTTGAATTGTAAAACAAACTATGAAAAGGATAAGTTATCCACAGGCCATATTTGAAAATTGAAAATTGAAAATTGAAAATTGAAAGTGCAAAACATCATCAACCACTAATCCAGAAGAGCCCAGAAAGCTTCTATATATGCAACAAAAAAAGGCCATGCTAGAAGAGAAGTCAGTTGTGAAACCATAATCATGCTGAATTCGAGACAAACTTAACAGGCTGATTGCAGGGAAGGAGTTCAGTAATGTAAGTAAGACTGAAGATACATTCTATGGTTGTAAGAATAACTCCATTTACAAACCTATAGAAAGCCTTCTTGAACGACAAAAAAATATAACTTCATCAGGCAAATTTGAAGACTTACCATCGGCTTTCCTGCCACAACATTCTTCCTAGCACTATTTCCACCTGCTTTCGTGTCCATAGTAAATAAGAAAACAATCTGAAAACAAGAACAATCTTACTAAATAGAAGTAACTTGGTAGATAGCTAACCATTGGTAGTTCCTGTGCCATTCATCAAATTGTTGGTATCTCCTTTTGCCTGCTTAACAGTTACTGGGCTCTTCCTCAATGCACTTGCAAGAGAACCCTTAGCGGGGAAGGAAAGGCTCTGGGAAAGCCCTGCCCTAGGATTTTTCCTTATCCCAGAAACCCCATTTTGACCAGCTCCATCCTTTTGTGCTTTTGAGGACTCACTTTTCTATAAAATATACGGTTCACCATGATAACAAGTTCCGCACAATTCAAGCTCTGATAAAGAAAAGCAAATGGACATTCAATAATGTACCTTTAGAAAAGCTGACCCCTTGCTTTCCGGAGCCACTGCAGTAGCACCTTCAGTCTCAACTCCAGAAGTAGTATGAGCTTCAGTTTTAAAAGATGGGTCTTCAGGTACGCCGTTATTTGCTTGCAAGGCTTCAGTTATACTGGGGATAACCTCATTTTCCCCATTAACTTTCGAACTCAATTCCAATGCCACTGGACCTTCCTCCAAACCCCCATTTCTAATCGCTTCAACTCCATTCACAACTTCCATTGCCATATCTAAGGGGCAAATAGGAGACTGAACACTGCAACGAATCAAGTTGTTCTAAAGATCAGCTCCTTTTACTAGTCCCTTCTGAGGCACTACAATATCAATACAAAACTAGGATAAATTCCAAATAACCCCCTCATTTATACCTTCAGTGACACTTATCCCCCCTCAACTATTTTAATAGCACTTATCATGCTGGGATTCACATTTACGAAGTCTAAATTGCAGAAAACGCCCTTCTGTCTTACGAATTGAGGGGATGCTAAGTACTAACAAATGAGCAACCTAAAACCTAAAGATAAATGACCAAATAACTGCAATGCCGCAATATTATTCACTTAAAAAACAGTAAAGAAATCATACCTAAGAGTGTGATCGAGCATTAGAAGCCGAATTCGCCCAATTAAATGAAATACAAACATCAAACAACAAAATTCTCACACTCCACCAAAAAAATCGAAAATTTCAAGAATCCAGAATCAGAGCAGAATCTAACAGATGAAGAACGAGTAGATACTGATCGAATCATACCTACTGACTCCAAATCCCAAAGCTAGAGCACGAGATCCATACGCTTCAGACGATCCACGAATCTAGAACCAGCAGCCATGATCCGACCCACTTCGGAGAGATCGAAGCTTGGCGGATCAAGATCGAGAGATCGAGAGATCTATCGACTCCCTCGAAACCCTAATTTACCTCCTCGGCGATCTCAGATTCTCCCTCTCAAGGCTCCGACTCCGTCGCACTGAATCAAATCACTGGGCCCGGGCGATTTTTTGTTTCAAACTAAAGAGATAAACGAGCACCCTATTCACGAAACTGCCACTTAGTCACCTGACTAAAATACCCCTGCGTTTATTCCATGTTAAACGACAGTTGTAGGGGTATTTTGGTGAAGTTGGGGTGCGTGACCATGTAGGGAGAACGTGGGTCTGTCCTTCTTGCTGACGTGGCTACTTGAGCTGGCTATGTGAGGATCCAACGGCCCGTAACGGAGAAAGGATGAATCCCGACCGTCCGTTTTACCCGGAACATTCCCGCGTTGCGGCTGCAAATATTCCGGTTGGTGGTGGGTTGCCATCGCGCTGGCGTTCGGTGAGGAACCGAACGTTGGAGTCGGACGGTCTCTTAAGTACAGTCTGGGAGTGGGCGCTTTCTGCATCTCGACCGTCCGTCTGAAACATGCTCTCGTGCCGTCGATTTATATCTGACGGTGGGTTGAGCCTAAGTAGCGGGGCGCGCGCTGATGGGGAGCTATGCGGGAAGGATTTGGTGGTCCACATCCGCAGGTCGTCCACTTGTAATCGGCAAGGCGGTGTAGCTTGTGCGGGTTGAGTCGACGCTCTTTACGATGGCGCTGCTAATAGCAATTTTTTTACCGTTGTTTCAAATGCTCACGGGATTATAAAAAAGGTGTATCTGGAAGTGTCTAATATATATATGGGAAAAATGCTTCCGGCCCTCAAAAGCCAAGTGAACATGTTTTCCACCCTCAAGACTTGGTCAATGGGTGTTTTACCCCTAAAAATAAAGATTTTGTTTTCTGAGCCCCAAAACACAAAACTCAAGACATTAAAGCATGTGAAGATCATAATACCCTTCTCTCTCTCTTTCTTTTTTTATTAAAATATGATGAAGATTATTTTGTTATTTTTCTCTCTCTCTCTTTATCATGATGTACCAAAAGGATAGTTGAAATGATTGATGAGGATTATTTTATTATTTTCGTTTTTTATTATTTTCGTTGTTTGTATTGGGAGGTTGTTAAAGTTACGGGTTAATTGTTAAGGTTACGAGTTAATTGTTAATGTTACGGGTCAATTGTTAAGGTTATGAATCATCTCTCTCTCTCTTTCTTTATTATTAAAATATGATGGAGATTATTTTATTATTTTTATTTTCTCTCTCTTTTTATCATGATGTACCAAGAGGATAGTTGAAATGATTGATAAGGATTATTTTATTATTTTTATTTTTTATTATTTTGGTTATTTGTATTGGGAGGTTGTTAAAGTTACGAGTTAATTGTTAAGGTTACGAGTTAATTGTTAATGTTACGGGTCAATTGTTAAGGTTATGAATCCTCTCTCTCTCTCTCTATCATGATGTCAATTGTTAAGGTTATGAAATGTTTGTATTGGGAGGTTGTTAAAGTTACGGGTTAATTGTTAAGGTTACGAATTAATTGTTAATGTTACAGGTCAATTGTTAAGGTTATGAATCATCTCTCTCTCTCTTTCTTTTTTTATTAAAATATGATGGGGATTATTTTATTATTTTTGTTTTCTCTCTCTCTCTCTTTATCATGATGTACCAAGAGGATAGTTGAAATGATTGATGAAGATTATTTTATTATTTTCGTTATTTATTATTTTGGTTGTTTGTATTGGGAGGTTGTTAAAGTTACGGGTTAATTATTAAGGTTACGAGTTAATTGTTAATATTACGGGTTAATTGTTAAGGTTATGAATCTCTCTCTCTCTCTCTCTCTCTCTCTCTTTCTCTCTCTCTCTATCATGATGTTTCTTTGATGATATGAATCTCTCTCTCTCTCTCTCTCTCTCTCTCTTTCTCTCTCTCTCTATCATGATGTTTCTTTGATGATATGAAATGATTAAAGAGGATTATTATTTTATTATTTTTGTTTTTTATTCTTTTTGTATTTTTAGAATATTCGTTGTTAAGGATAACTATTGGTTGTAAAGGTTATGCATTGATTGTTAATGTTACGGGTTGGTTGTTAAGGTTAAGGGTTTGTTGTTAAGGTTATGGATTTGTTGTGTAGGTTACGGATTTGTTATTAAGGTTACGGGTTTAATTGTTAAGGTTACGTGTTTAATTGTTAAGGTTACTGGTTTAATTGTTAAGGTTACGTATTCAATTGTTAAGATTACAGGTTTAATTATTACGGTTACGGTTTATTAATTGTTAAGGTTACGGTTTAATTGTAGGTTACGGGTTTAATTGTTAAGGTTACGGGTTTAATTGTTAAGGTTACGGGTAAATTGTTAAGGTTATGGATCCCTTCTCTCTCTCCCTCGTAACCTTAACAATTAAACCCGTAACCTTAACAATTAAACCGTAACATTAATAATTAAACCGATAATCTTAACAATTAAACCCATAACCTTAACAATTAAACCATAACCTTAAAAATTAAACCGTAACCTTAATAATTAAACCCGTAACCTTAACAATTAAAATCGTAATCATAATAATTAAACCCGTAACCTTAACAATTAAACCCGTAACCTTAACAATTAAACCCGTAACCTACAATTAAACCGTAACAATCTTAACAACAATTTAAGGTTACGGGTCAATTGTTAAGGTACCCGTAACCTTAACAATTAAACCCGTAACCTTAACAATTAAACCCGTAACCTTAACAATTAAACCCGTAACCTACAATTAAACCGTAACCTTAACAATTAATAAACCGTAACCGTAATAATTAAACCCGTAACCTTAACAATTAAAGACGTAACCTTAACAATTAAACCCGTAACCTTAACAATTAAACACGTAACCTTAACAATTAAACCCGTAACCTTAACAACAAATCCGTAACCTACACAACAAATCCACAACCTTAACAACAAACCCTTAACCTTAACAACCAACCCGTAACCTTAACAATCAATGCATAACCTTTACAACCAACCATTATCCTTAACAACGAATATTCTAAAAATACAAAAAGAATAAAAAACAAAAATAATAAAATAATAATCCTCTTTAATCATTTCATATCATCAAAGAAACATCATGATAGAGAGAGAGAGAGAGATTCATAACCTTAACAATTGACCCGTAACATTAACAATTAACTCGTAACCTTAACAATTAACCCGTAACTTTAACAACCTCCCAATACAAACAACCAAAATAATAAAAAACGAAAATAATAAAATAATACTCATCAATCATTTCAACTATCCTCTTGGTACATCATGATAAAGAAAGAGAGAAAACAAAAATAATAAAATAATCCCCATCATATTTTAATAAAAAAAGAAAGAGAGAGAGAGAGGATTCATAACCTTAACAATTAACCCGTAACATTAACAATTAACTTGTAACCTTAACAATTAACCCGTAACTTTAACAACCTCCCAATACAAACAACGAAAATAATAAAAAACGAAAATAATAAAATAATCATCATCAATCATTTCAATTATCCTCTTGGTACATCATGATAAAAAGAGAGAGAGAAAAAAATAATAAAATAATCTTCATCATATTTTAATAAAAAAAGAAAGAGAGAGAGAATGGTGTTATGGTCTTCACATGTTTTAATGTCTTGAGTTTTGTGTTTTGGGGCTCAGAGAACAGATTCTTTATTTTTAGGGGTAAAACGCCCATTGACCAAGTCCTGGGGGTGGGAAGCATGTTCACTTGGATTTTGGGGGCTGGAAGCATTTTTCCCTATATACATATAGAGAGAGAGGGCAAAATTCCTATCAACTTAAGTTGATGTCCACCAAAGTTTCTAGTCACACATATATTAATATAAAACACATTTTTATATAATACATAGATCCCTAGACAATATGAGTGGTTAAAAACTTTGGTGGACACACTATTTGTTATCCACTTAAGTTGNTATATGCCAAAATTTATTCCCAGCATTAACACCAAGCGTTTGATAACATCAAATGTTATTCATAAATTTACTCGATTTATTAATGAACCTCGAAGCTTCCCCCGCTCGAGATGGATAGATTCCTTAGGGGCTGTTTGGTTGTATGTTTTTACTATGTAAAATGATGTAAAGTGTAAAAAAGTGGGTCCCAATGTCAGCTTTCATCACTTTCAATTGTTTGTTTGTAGTTGTGAAAATAATGTAAAGTGATTTCATATGCTGATGTGGTTTGTAAAGTGATTTCATGAAAAAAAGACATGATTTTAGGAGAAAGCTAACATTAAAGTTAGGAAAAAAATAATAAAAAATAATTCCAACCAATATGATCATTTGAATAGGGACCACTTTTTACACTTTCCAAATAATTCCAACCAATATGATCATTTGAATAGGGACCACTTTTTACACTTTCCAAACAAACAATTAAAGTTTTATTTTACAAACCAAACAAGTGTTTTATGATTCCAATGGAATCAAAAACAAACAAAGAAAAGTATAAAAGTGAAATTGATGAGGTGGACAACAACTTTCCAAGTTGTGTCATAAATACACAACTTTACCAACAACAACCAAACAGCCCCTTGCTCTCCAGTGATGTAAATAATCAGCAGCGGCCTCAGCTGTGAATCCCTGTCATTTGGTAACGGTGTCTCCTAGTTATGATAAATTGGAGTAATTAAGAACTTAACTCCAATAAAAATCCATGCCAGCTTAACATCACCTATAAATTTGATTAAAAGTTCTATGTAAAAAATGCATGTCTGATTCAGGAAACTGCCCTCTGTAGCCAAATCCCATGGACCAAAAAGACTTTTGAGTGATTAAAGCAGATCCTCTTAATGAAGACAAATTCATTCTGATAATGGTTAAACAAAGAGCAATAGGAACAGGATAATAACTGGAATCATTCATTTCTAACAAGTAATAAGAAACTTTACAATGCTTACTCATGTATGTTTATAATTTTACAGCCCTAATAGGAAATGTACAAAAAGTAGGGGGGGAATTTTCTATGGAAAAAGGTCAAAACTCATTGCTGCTATGAGTTCAACCAAGCTTTAATGCTTCCCTAAATCCCATGCTGTAACTATCCTGTAAACCTTTCTTGCCAAATCCAGCATTTCCTTTTTGCATCATGGCGACAAACTCATTGTAATCAATCCGCCCATCCTACAAAAAGAGCACAAAGGAATGTTCTTATTTAAAAATTTTAAGCTGGAAAGAAGAAAAGGTAAATAACAGCAAATATCACCATGGTTTTTAAAGAAATGACGGCCGATCCTTCCAAGGTTTTTAAAGTGACAATTTTTTCCCTCCTTATATTCAACTTTTAGTCAAATAATCATCATGTTTTTTATATAACCGTCAATTTACTTATGGGTAAATTTGACAAAAGTGCTTTTTAAGCTTGGCAGATTTTGAGATAACCTCCAATTTAAAAATGTCACTTAACCCAATTTAAGTTTGGGGTGTTTCAGAAAATCTCCCAAACGTTTTCAAAAATTTCAACCAACCCTCAAACAGTGTTAGGTGGACCGGTAAAAAAAAGATCATAATACCCTTTTCAAACTAACATCTAATATTAAATAAAATTAATTAAAATCCCGAAATTAGACCAAATTATAGGGGCTTTCGTGAAAATTACCTTTAAAATTATAAATAAAACATGAAAAGATTTTTTTTTCATCCTGCAAAACTTCAGCGGAGGTCCCTCATATATTGCTTAAAAATCATCTAGGCCTATGCATGCTTGAAAGTCGCTATTTGGGGTCTTTAACGTTACATCTGTTATATGCGTAGGCCCTTTTTTTTGCAAATTTATGTTAAATCTCACTGATGCGTCAGTAACATGACAAGACAAACTTGTAATTACACCAATATTTGCTGACTGGATGCTGTCCATGTAACCGACACATCAGCAAGATTCAAAAGAAACTTGTGAAAAAAGACCTAAGCTAAGACAGGGGTGACATTTAAGACTCCCACTGATTATTTCCAAACATAAAGGACCTAAACAATATTGAAAAATACATAAGGGACATCTACTGAAGTTTTGCCTTTTCTCCCAATCTTTTGGTGGATTGGGCACACATGATTTTCACATGTACAATCAGATCTAAACTAAAGCTGTTTTTTTTTTGGAGGGGGGGCGGGGCGGGCGGGAGGGCGTGCTGCGGCTGCTGTTTATCCCAAAAAAGGTTTCATAACAGGGTTTTGTGAAATTTTACCCTATAACAATCATACAAAGTTTATACATGAGAGGTAATTGTTGTGTCCAGTTCCTATAGTTTTCATATCTGCTTTTATTTCTGCATTAGCTGTAAACAAATTTAAAAAGAACTATCAAACTGTCACATAAAAAAGCTTAAAGGTACCTTTTTCTGAAGCATGCAAACCTTACGGGATTTTTTAATAACTGAAATTCTGAATAACTTACGCTATCTTGATCTACTTCTCTCATCATATCTTCTATCCGAACATCTTCAACACCAAACTCATCACAAGCTTGTTGAAGCTCGTCTGCAGTAATGAAGCCACTTCCATCTTTATCAAAATATGAGAAGGCTGCAAATAAATGGTCCTGCCTTTCTATCTTGTTCATATGTAGGGTGGCAGCTATGAATTCCCCATAGTCTATGGTACCATTGTTATCCACATCCGCCTGCAGCAAAAAGTATTTTCCTTGCATAAATCTCACATTAACAAGTTTAGACTGATTTCAATTCTCAAACATTATATCTCACAAAAATTCAGTAAATTTATGGAAAATAAATTTTTATGGTTTAATCAGTTGAACCACCCATGTAGTTTCATTGGTGCAGATAGAACCCCTGAGTTAAAAATTGACTCTTTTGCGCTTCGACAGTCACTAATTTCACCCAGGGCCAATATCTGCCAAAATTTCACCAAGGATAAAAGAGCAAAACAAATCAACCCCAGGGGGTCAACCTGCAACAATGAAACTACAATGGTAGAAAGTGCAAAACAATGATACTAGAAGGGGTCTATGCGCAATTAACCCTTGTTCATTCACCTGCAGTCCAAATTTTATTAGGGTTGATGAATGTAGCTAGGTTACATTATCTCATTATATATTGTATGATGATGTCCATGAAGGATGTCTGCATTTCAAAGATAAGCTTTGAAACTGAAAACGTACTGCCTGCATTAGGGAGTAAATTTCTGATTCCTTCATGTGAGCACCCACTCTCTCCAACCCAACCTTTAGTTCTTCAAAAGTAATTTGTCCACTGTTGTCGGTGTCTATCATCTTGAACATTTCTTTGAGGCCAGCGATTTCCTCTTCAGAGAGGCTCTCAGCAATAACCTGTCAAACACAAGTTACTATGCTTAGAAATTTTGATGACTATGCATATTTAAATCATACTTATAGTAACACGCATCTAATAAAGGAGCTCAAATAAAAGACAAACGATAGAAACGATATCAGTCATAATCGAAAGACTACGATGTTCTATGGAGAAATGCAGATGGATAAACAACGCTGAACCATAAAAAACACATAGATCATAGGTATCGGTACATTTGTTGCCAACGAATAAAGAAAATTCTGTTTCTAGAGAAATTTCTGTCATGGTAATTACATGAAGAAAGCTTACATTGTATTTGTGAACAGATATCAGAATATTTAGAACTATGAGCATCATTAATATAGAATACCTTGGTCGCAAATCAATAATCATCAATCTAAGACTTCCCCTCCACAAAGGGTCAGCCGGAAAATCAACCATATTTATGATTTGGCCAATTCATAAATAAAAGTAATTATCGTGAATTCTTATAGTTCTTTTCTTAGTATGGTCACTTTTGTTTCTAATTCCACATTTATGTTCAAACCGAACGGCCAGTAAACATATGATGAAAATTTTAATTTATTAACGTCAAGAAAGGCAAGCAGCGTCAGTTTGAAGATAAAAGCTTCTCCACATGATTTCAACTGCAGCAATAAAATCATTTTTATAGCATTCATATTAACTGTCACCAATCTCTCTTTCAACTAGATTTCCTAATTCTCTTCAACAAATCACTATACTTTTAAAACTTACTCTAAGGGCCATCTTTTTGAGTTTATTCATTGCAGAAAATTGCTTCAAACGAGATAAAACTGCAGCATCTAGTGGCTTATCAGGAGCCAGACCACCAACTTGAAGCCATGGATGACCTGAAGGAAACCCGAGTAACATGCTAAATCACTTGATAATTCATATAATTTCCCAAGAGAAATAATATTCGAGCTAATTACAGACAAATCAAACAATAACTCACAGAGAACTTCATGAGCAGTCAACCTTTTTTTAGGGTCTCTGACAAGCATTCTCTTTACTAAATCTTTGGCACCTTCAGAGATGCTAGGCCATGGATCTGTCTCAAAGTCGAGCTTCCCATGTAAAACCTGTTCGAATATAGCTTGCTCGGTTTCTGAAATTTATGCAAAAAAGAAAACATAACTTCAATTGAAGAAAAGGTATTTTCACTTAAACACCCAAAGTTTACTCTATTTTTTATTTAGATAACCCAAAGTGCTTTTTTGCCCAAAAAATACAGCAAAGTTTTAACTTTGATAAGCCAAAGTTTTCTTTTGCCCAAAGAGTACCCCAAAGTTCAACAAAACTTAACTTTCAAACCCTAAACTTTAACAAAAATTTAACTTTGATACCCAAACTTCAACAAAAAAAAAGCTTGGGTATCAAATTTAACCTTTTCTTTTATTAACTTTGGGTTATTAAAGTTAAAATTTGTTGAACTTTTGGGGTATTTTTTTGGGCAAAAAGACAACTTTGAGGTATCAAAGTTAAAAGAAATTTTGACCTTTGGGGTTTCAAAGTCAAATAACTCATTAAAGAAATAAAGTGCAACATTAACAAAGTTAAACATGAGCAAAAGCTGGACTACAGACCTCCCCAAAATGGGGGCACCCCACTAAGAAGGATGTAGATAATCACACCAGCGCTCCACACGTCAGCTTCGGGACCATAATGTTTCCTCAAAACTTCGGGTGCAACATAATAGGGGCTACCAACAACGTCCGTAAATTTATCTCCTGAAACAATAGAGCTGTCAATACAAGATCAGACATATATAGAAAATGCAGTATCATACTTTGCATCATATAGAATAGAAATCACCATTTCAATGTAAATGCATCTAGTTTTATAAGCATACAAGCCCATATATGCATATATGCACATATTTCACTTTCGAGAATGTTATGATGTTGGACAATGAGAGTAAATTTGGTAATAACAAGAAATGATGGATCATGGTATCTCCTTGATGAAATTATTGTTTGGCAGTTGTGGAATTAATAAGTGGTTGATTCCCTGAAACTGATGTGTCGATGTGATCAAAAGGACGCTAAGTTGAAAAAAAAGGAAAAATAAGAAAAGGAAAAAAAACTGATGTGTCATACAAATGTGTGTTTTTGTGTCATGTCTATATAGGGTGTGCATGCATGCTTTTTTGTCTATATATTGACAATATGTGCCTGAGTTTTGATTCTTTTGAAAATGAAATGATTTCACAATTTCCTTTACGAGCCTTGTAATTAAAGCCTGAATAGGGGAAGATTTCGAATTTTCTGAAATGCAAGATTGAATCAAGTGTTGATGATTCCCGATACTAGCACTTTATGTATCCTTTATGTTTGTTAATAATTGCTACGAAGTAGTACACGCTGTTGTAAAGTATAATGCAAGCTAGTGGCAGTTCACTAGAAAACTTGATGATAATAAGGTAGTATGAAGATGTTAAGCTCCCAACACCATTAGCAAGAGATCGACTTGACAAATCAGAATACAAGAAACATAACCAGCCTTCACTAGGAACAATATCAACCATACAAACACAAAACTAGCTCCGTGGATGTTTCCATCATATCCTTCCATAATTTTCAAAGGAAGCTCACTGAAGTGAGAATCCAATATTTATTCCAGGATGAGACACTAAATTAAGATTCTGATATTTTAACAATATCAATCTCTTATTGTTAGTAATAAAAAGGAAATGGTTATACGATACAATTGGATATTGACCTATGTATTTGTCTCCTGGTTTTTCTACCTGACATCTAGTTCACAGAACGTGAGGACAATACAAGGTTACAAGAGGTTATCCAGGATGATCTTGAATGTCTTTTTCCCCCTTTTAAATATGTGGGAAGCCAAGTACTTTTCTTGATTTAAATTTCATGAAAGGCTATGGCTCACACAATAATCCCTCCCATACACTAGCTTTGAATGGGACCTACAATTCTCAGGGGATCTTATTTTGCTATACTAAATTTCGATTAATCTTTTAGGTGTCGTGGATGCTACCACTAACAGTGTCCCAAATGTACAATTTTTTCACTGATCGTCTATATAAAACTTCAACCATAAAACCTCCATTATTGAGCGTCAAAAGATGTAACGAGAAAGCATCCCTTGGTAAGAAATTTCCATTTGTGACATGTACATTGTAAGTAAACCCACCTGCTTGCCATCTTATTCTCCATAGTTTCCTTACTAGTTGAAATCCCACTGCATATCCATCATGTGGATCCTAACTCCACCAACAAATAAGCTATTTGAATAACCATAATCCATATCCCATACCATCCATGTCCAAATGTCATTACTTTCCAATTTGAATTGGGGACCATTTACTAGCAAGTTTAAACATCTAAGACATGTAACATTATACAACAGCTAACAATGGAATCTGAGAACATCTTTTTCCTTCGAAAATACTTTGACAGTTCACTATACTATATTACATTGGCCGTCATAAGTATTGTCATGTATTAATACAAAGTAAACAAGGATCAATTAATTAACTCCTCACAAAAAAAAGCATGATACAACTTTTAGTCCTAGATTAATGAATATTCAATATCTGGATGTCTCGAGTATCAACCATTATTAGAGAAAGACCACCTAGATCAATTCTCTTCTAAACTCAGTCTAAACTTCTCGACGAACAAGAATCACATTCTCCTTACTCAAACTAAATAAATCATCCACTTCATAACGGTGCTCTTAGTTCTCTCCTTTTATATCCGTTTATTTGTATAATGTCTATCGAGGCTATTTGATTCATAAAATATTAAAAATATAATTATCATCACAATTTACAAAGTTGGTCTCTGCCAAAATTCTTGCAATCAATTTGATTGTAATTTTCTTTTGTAAAAGATGATCCTCTTTTCTACCATACTCACAAATTGCAATGAACAAACAGTTGAACACAAAACTATAATGATCAACCCTCATCATAACTTCC